TGCTGTTTCCGTAGCAGTTGGAGTTTTTACAGGGTGGGGTTGCTAGCCCCACGCCCAACCCTCCTCCTTTCTCATCCGGGCTTGGGACCGGCAATGGCAGAGTTACACACACACAAACAAAAACCAAACATGCACACACACAAACATCAAAATGAAAAAAAACAAACATAATCATAACACTTTTCTTGTGTATAAATAAAGACAAGTGCAAAAACAGAGCACACTTCACAGGGCCCCACTCTGGTGTGAGCGCTCTGTGACAGCCCTTGCAAGTAAAAACTGCAGCATGTGTGTCTCCACTCTCTGACTCTCAGCTGAAGAAGTGTCATTTAGAATATATCTCTTGACATTTACCATAAAAAATGCATTTTCAATAGATACAGACATATTTATTATGTTAATGTCTTTTAATCAAAATATGACAGCATCATTGATGATCTTCTTGTATCCATGTAAGTACAAAAAGTCCAACATCTCCCTCTAGTGGCCATATATAAACCATGCGTGAGGATGGTGTTAATGTAAAATGTGAATCATAGTGTTCCAGTCAGTCATCAGTGTGTCTCTGCACAGCTGTAATTAAAATGTGTTCAGAGGGCCTCAGTGTCTGAATGGTTCCAGTTCAGCTCCATAACAGCAGCGTCCCTGGTTTGATTCCTGTGTTTCAGCTCATATCTGCCTCTCTCACTGAGGGGGACGTAACTACATGGACATGGATTTGTTTATCAACCAAACTAGAGATCACTTAGAGCAGAGGACATTTGACTTGTTTCTGAGTTTTCTTTCCATCTGTGTGAATTGCCAGATGTCTCAGTAAGCTCATTGGATTAAAATATATATGTTTATAGTTTATATCTTGCATATTTATAAGAATTTAGTTACCCACTGTATTTGAACCAATAGAAAGCTGGTGCTCAGAGGAAGAGGGCGGGCTTTACTTGGTGTCAGTGACAGAAATGAAAAAAAGCTCAAATGAGTGAGAAGGACGATGAAGGAAACATCTGTGCTGTGTCTGCTCTGTAAGTAGAATCTCTGTGTTTGTTTGAATTCTTGTACTTTGACTGTCTGCTCTCCTG